TTGACCGCGAGGCCAACTTGACGAGCGAGTTCTCATCGCAAGCGAGCACCACGAGCGTCGGGACGACAGGCGCCGCAAGCGTGGTGGCAACCCACGTCGGCACCGACAAGAGATCGAGCAAGCCCGATGCTACCAGCGCCGCCGAATGGCGAAGCGTCCAGAGCTCCGTCGACGGCTGCACGAGCTCCTCGATCATCCCACACCATGTTCTTCGCTGCTGAGCGAGACCGCGTGGGCAAGGCCGTTGTCCGCGCGCACAAATGGAGGTCATCGTCCGTGGTGAGGAGGCGCGAAGGGCGTCCTCCACCGCGAGCACAGTCGACGCCAAGACTTTGGAGCCGACGCGGGTGAGAATCGCAACCAGCGCGTCAAGGCTGGCCTCCTGGACGCCGCCCGTCGTCGACGCAGCCTTGTCCGTGAGCTCGGCAATGAGCGGGTCCATACTTCACAGTTGTGACCATTGCTCATGGTCACTGAAGTAATCTTCCGAACGGCGGTGCTGTCATGCTACCCGGTAGCATTGCGGGCTGTGTCAAAGTCGATTTGAAACTCGACTGGCATGGTTTCTATTGGCTCAATCTCAATTTTAAATTCTTTATAGCCAATCACAAGACTACGGTTATATAGTGTGCGTTTCCACTGCACCACAACGACGAATCGCAGCCCACAGACTCGCCAACCCCACGATGCAGATATGTAGGCCTCTCTACACACTCACTGAACGGCGTACATGTCGTTTCCGACGCTGAACGTGGCGTAATCACGCGTAAATCCATTTTCAGTTTTTGAGGTGGTGGCACAATTGCTCAATTACATTACATGACATCGCGGGGTTTGAAAGCTCCAAGGACCCCAATTCTGGCTGCCACAGTTGGCTATGGATCTTGACCCGATGTGCGACCAGTTTGTTGGGCCGCGCCGTTGCTTGGGCGCTCACACCAAACTCAAACTGCCGAGCGTCGGTTTTCCCAAAATGCGGCACGATATTTCGATTGAAAATAGGTTGAAATCGCGGAAACTGAGGACGCCATCTCGTTTTGTTGATGTTGAAGAGCGTGTTTCATGTGGCCGAGGAAGACATCGCGCCTGCGATATGCCCCGTAATGAGCAGCCTAATGAGGCCTGCCAGCGTCGTACAGTATTTCAGTGTAACAAAATACACACTATATGCTAGCCAATCACCAGTGTTCTTGCCATTTCAAGTTTTTGTGGGCCATCGTCGCGCACCGCCAGCACGTACGTGGCAAGCCGTGCGCAGGCCTCGGGCCGCGGGCTCATGCAACGTTGATGTAGGCGTGGCGCAGCTACAGCATCCGTGACGAGCCACCGATGCGGCCCTAGGGCGGAGCCCTGGCCAAATTTTTCGACGGCCTCTCGCGCATCGGCCACCCTCCAACCCTCCGTGAGATGCGCTTGTACAAGTTCCCAAGACCTGCGACGACGCTGGGAGCGACGCCACGATATCTAGCATCGTGAGCGCCACGGCATCATGCGCTTGCGCGTCCAGATCGGCCAGCGCTACGGCCGCATTCGACCTACGGCGGGTCGCGCGCTCGTCACTGCCGCCACACTACGTACATCTCGGGCGTCGACGCGCGACTCGTGTCTCGGCCCGAAGCTGCATGCGGTTGGTCGCGCCGGCCGTCGCGCGCTGCACTCGAGTCCGTCGCCATGCCGAGTCCTTTCCCTTCTTCGTCCTCCATGGCCGACTGCTGGTGGCAACCGTCGACACGCACTACTGACGGCGGCAAGACATGTGTCTTTGCAATGAGCCACACAGAGATGCCAGGGACATCAATAGTCCGCAACGACGGCCTTGCCGTTACTCACGGGAACGAACGCTACGACAAGAAGAATTTATTATTTTCTCTGCTCATATGTCATTTTCCATGTCGCCCGCCGTAGCGGTGCATGGCCAAAATGTAGAAAATGTTGGAGAATGCTGGGATTATTTTCAACGGCCCA